GTACAACAGATACCTGGAGCCCGCCATCACATCACTTGGATGATGTTTCATTAGATACCAGCCTTGGCGTCATAGTGCAGTGTCTGATAGGGTGCATGGCCCTTTACCTGAAGCCCCTGTGGCCAGATGTTTTGGAACGCACAGGTTTTCAGATTGTGGAAAGTCCTGTGGTGCACAGTTGGTGTTTGTTTATGTAAGTAACATGGTGCACATCGCATGTGTGTACCATGGTATACATACAGGATTTAACATCCCCGAGGGAGCCTGAGACAGCACTCTGCAATCACATTATTGCCACACTGAAAACTATGAATATTTACATAACATTGGATAAGTAAAGATTGTAAGTGGTCTTATATCAGCTCAGGTCTGGTTGTGCTGCCAAATGAGATTGCCACAGATGTACAAGAAAAAATCACCTTCTTTCAGAGCTTGCTGGATTTGGTGACTGTGTGCCTAGGATTGTATCTAGTGCTGCAGGGAAAATGCCCTGAAATCTCCCCGTGGGGAGAGGAGGTGCACTCAAGTGGCCTTTTCCCAGTCCGGAGGCTGCCCTGCCCCCTACTCTGTGAGCCATTCTGTTGTGAGGAGGGAAGTGTGCTGGCATTAACTCTGACCGGGAAAGGATGGCGGGAGGAGGCCTGTGGGGCTGGTGGTCAGGAGGTGGCCAAAGGGCAGTGCAGCTTCTCAGCTGCTCCCGTCTGTGCAGGTGAGAGAGGAGAGTCGAGATAGTAGGTCTCTTCCCTACCTTCCAGGGAGATCTGGAGACCTGGCCCGGGACTATGGGCATCCTGAGAGTGGCTCTGGCTTCCCCAGTGGGTCATCTTTGCCGCTCTCTTTCCCTGAGGGATCAGCAGTGAAGGGCTGAACGTGACAAGAGGGCCCAGGCATGGTTTGGAAGGGGACAGCACACTGCAAAAGAGTGTCCTGTGGGAGAAGACAGGCCACATGAGGGATGGCAGGGATGACGGCAGGCCCACAGGCAGCATGCTCCCCAAAGGGCTGGTGTCTGTAAGTGACTTGGTTTCTGTTACCAGCTCTGGCAGGGCATGGAGTTGGGGAACAGAATGGGAGCATCTGGCCAGGCCTGGGTGCTGAGTTTCTGTCCCTGCCCTTGCTGGGCTGCTTGGGAGCCTCTCTCGGGTGTGAAGGGTTCTGCCTTTCTGCGGAGCCTCGCCTCCTAAGCACGGCCCATGTTTCTGTTGGCAGATCTGCCGTCGCCTCAATGGGGTCCGGTTCACCAGCTGCAAGAGCGCGAAGGACCGTACAGCCATGTCGGTGACGCTGGAGCAGTGCCTGATCCTGCAGCACGAGCATGGCATGGCCCCGCAGGTCTTCACCCAGGCCCTGGAGTGCATGCGCAGGTGAGTGCCGCAGCCAGGCCGTGCGCCCCGCCTGCCCCGGCCCGTGTAAACTGCAGATGAGCTGGTGCCCTGCTCCTGCCCGCGGGGCCTACCCTGCATGAGCCCCTTGACTCCAGCCGTCACACTTGAGTTTGACAAACCAGTCAAACTATTGGCACAATCAAATTCAGACAGGGTGCTCTTGTAAGGAAAGGTGGGGGGAAAGAGCTAGCAGGACTTTCTGAGCAGGACTGCCCGGAAAACCGGTAGACTGGTGGGCCAGCCAGGGGTCAGGCAGCTAAACGGGAAGCTGGGATGCAGCCGTGACGTGCAGTGCCCTGCTGGCCACCTGCCTGGCCGTGGGTGTGACTTCAGGCCAGTGCTTTCTCAGCAGGCATCTGCTGTTGTCGTCGTGTACATATTGATATCCGCACATTTCCAAACTCGAGCGAAGCAACGCGTCTGCAGGTTGCACCGGTCTGCTCCGCTGCTTCTCTAGCAGTCGACACAGTTGGCTCTCATGAGCCAAGTGTCACATGAGTGTTTTATCATGAGAGCTGTCCGTGTGCCCTGGCGACCTCACCCTAATGATGTTCTGATTCTGAGGCAGCAGGCGTGTTTGCAGAATGAAACCCGGAACTAAAAGTGTCTCCTGTTGATCGATGCCTTGTTTCAAGCACTGCTGGGCAGCCCCCTACCTCACATACCAAAAGAAAGGATAAGAAACCTGGTTTCCCGTCTCCTTCGATGTAGTCACCAATGCTGTTAAAGTCTCGTTTCCA